CAGAGCTCACAGAGGTTCTCGCTTTCTTCCTCTGAGGGTGACACTCTGTGAGTCAGTGCAGTAAGGGATCTGGGAAAAGCCTCATCATCCCTGGGACTGACCCAACAGTTAGCAAGACACCAGAATTCTTGGTGGGAAAGAGGTAGAAAAAGAGGACACCTACATAGAGACATAGAACATCCCAAGGGGCTTGGTCTCTCTTTTTGCATGTGTGTGTGTCTCTTTGTGTATGTGTGTGTGTGTGTGTGTGTGTGTGTGTGCCTGTGGGTCTCCATGTGCCTGGTCTGTGTATCTATGTGGCTATGAGTGCATCTGTGTGTGTGCAAGTCAGTGTATGCACGTGTGTCTGTGTGTATGCATGTGTGTATCTCTGTGTCCCTCTCTATATATGTATGTGCATCTGTGTATCTGTGTAACTGTGTGTAAATATGTGTGTCCGTGTGTATGTGTATCAGTGTGTGCATGCATGTATCTATGTGTTCACCCATGTGCATATGTGTGTCTCTGTGTACATGTATGCATCTGTGTGGCTGTATGTGTGCATGTATGTATCTCTGTGTGCATCTGTGTATGTACGGACTTGCATGCTCGACCCTATACCTACTCACAGCATTGTCCATGTTCTGAACTGCATAGAAACTGCTAAGCATTAATAGTTATTTTCATCAACTAGTGAAGAAAGTCCCAGAAAACACAGTTCTTTAAAAGAGGAAGGCAGGTGGGACCAGTGGATGGTGTAATAGTTATGTTGCTGGATTCCCACATAGTCGACCGCGGTTCCCATTCTGGGCCTGGTGACTTAAAATTCATACCAGGCTCATATGTGTGTGTGCCTAAAATCCTGAGAGGGTAATGGAGGAGAAGGGATTGCGGCATGACCATCCCCCCTGGGGGGTGATTTCTTACTTTCTGTCTCTGTGTCTCTGGTGAGTACACAGGCCCTGTAGCAAAAATCTATCTTAAAAAAAAAAAAAAGAGGAAACCAGGGGGGCCAGCAAGCAGCGTGGTGATTAAGGTGCTAAACTCCTGCAAGACTGACCACAGTCTTAGTCCTGAACCCAGTGGCTTGAAAATCACACCAGGTGTACGTGCACACATGCCTAAAATTCTGAGAAGAGAATGGAGAAGGGATTGTGGTGTGGACATTCCCTCTGGGGGTGATTTATCACTTTTTTTCTCTCTCTCTTCTCTCTCTCCAACAAGCCCATGTACCCTATGGCAAAAACCTTAAAAAACAAAATAGAAGGCAGAACTTGCTTTCAATACTCAAGAGGAGAAATGCCAGAGCCCCTGCGTTGCAATGAACCAGCCTAAAAAACCCTTAGGCCTGCCCCTCCTACCACGTACGTCTTCAGGCCCAAGTGGGATGAGTCCCCCAGAGAGCTGAGATGGGACAGCTCCTCCATTCTGTAGAGCTCTGGCCCCAGGAGGTAGGAGGGGTACGTTAGGTCACTTCCAGGCCTGGAATTGGTGAATATTTGAGGAGGGGGCTAGGCGCGGGGGTAGCTGAGTCAGTCCTGAGGAGACTTCATCCAGCACCTTCCTCCCACTTTCTCAGCTCCCTCATGCCCATGCCCATGAGGTACACACACCCCTGCCAGGGGAAAATGTAATCCGTGAAAAGTTCTTCCACAGTGGTCTTCGGCTCTGGCTGCACACAGAACCCCCTGGACAGAGAGAAAAAAATCCCAGCATCCGGGCTGGACCTCTGATTGATTCGCTCAGCATCTCCGTGGGGAGTCCCAGCTCCAGTACTGTTCCGCTGAGTTTGACACAAAGCAAAAGACCTCCTCCCAACCCTGCCATCACCAGCTCTATCCCTCAGCCTCTCCTGCCCTCCCCTCAGCTGGCATTTCTGCCTCTCCTGAGCTGACTTGGTTCACACCCTGCACATTGGGCACTGAGTTCCTGCTCCTCGGGCCTAGGACTCAGCCCTACCTGGTCCTGGACACCCATAGGCTGCAGAGACCCCAGGATGGCAGGCATCAAGATGAGACGAGGGCCACTCCACTCCACTGGAGACCCAGATGAAAGCATTCTGGACCCAGCATTTCCTGTGGTGCTGAGGAAGCCAACCAGCATGTCAGCCCAGGTGCCTAGATGTGCCCGCGTGTGTCCTTGAGATCTTGTTAATATGCAGACCTGGGTGAGACCAGAGATTCTGTCTTTCCTTTTTTTTTTCTTAAGTTTTCTTTATTTCTTCCATGAGTGAGACAGAGACAACACCCCGCGGAGTCCTGACAGCCCAATCCACCCCCAGCCCCAGCCAGTGCGGCATTATGGGCACATGTATGCCTGGCATTCTTGGGGAGGTCTCTGGATACAAACCCAGAACCTTCCCGTGTGGTCAGCCTCACAGAGCCTCATATGTTACCACTGTGCCACCATCCAGCCCGAGCTCTTCCTTTCTAATAAGCTCCAGGTGATGCTGAGGCTGGTGGTACCAGGCCGAGCTGTGTAGCAAATGCAGAGATCCTCTGAGTCTCACCTCCCGCTACAGCCCTGGGCCGTTTTTCCCCCAAGGGCACAGGGGACGCAGCTGGCCTCACCTTCCTGTAGAATCCCCTCTGTAGCCCAGTCCTGAAGTACTCACATCCCCCCTGACCTGGAAGGCATTGGAGAATGACCTTCTGACCTTCCCATACACACTAGGAGCCCTGGTCCACTGCTGGGACTCTAGCCTAGCTGCCCAGCCCCGACCACCTGATCAGTGTCCTCAGTGTGGCTCCCACCTGCCCATCGCTTACCACAGTCTGTCCCCACAACAGCTTCCCTGAGAGCAGAGAAGGAAAGAGGCGTCTAGGGAAGTCAGCCACAGGCAGAGCCTGGCTCTGCCACTCACTCCAGCTTTGGGACTTGGAGCAGAGTGTCTCAACCTAGTTTCTTTTTTTTTTTTTTTGAGAGGTTTTCACTATAGGGCGCGTGCGCTCGCCAGACAGAAAGAGAGAGACATAGAGACAGAAAGCGAGAAATCACCCCCCAGGGGGGATGGTCACGCCGCAATCCCTTCTCCTCCATTCTCTTCTCGGGATCTTGGGCACGCACGCACACGTGCCCGGCGTGAGTTTTAAGCCACTGGGTCCGGGACGCGAACCGCGGTCAACTACATGGGAGTCCAGCGACATAGCTATTACGCTAACTGCTGGTTCCCTCAACCTAATTTCTTCATCCTTAAAATGCAGACAAGGAGGGACCAGCAGATGGCATAATAGTTAAATCGCTGGACATTCACGTAATCAATATAGGTTCAAGTCCTGGGCCTGGCACCTGAAAACTCAAATTGAGTGTGTGTGAGTGCATGCCCAAAATCTCTTGAGGAGAATGGAGAAGGGATTACATGGTGCATCCTCCCAGGGCGTGATTTCTTGCTTTTTGTCTCCCTGTCTCTCCAGTAAGCACATGCTCCCTATAGCAAAAATCTCTCTTAAAAAAATAATTAGAACTTTTAGGCCAACTCATGGCCTGGTGGTTAAGGTGACTAGATCCCACATGGGCTGGACCCATCAGCTTGAGAAACATGCCAGGGGTGTATATGTGTATGCCCAAAATCCCAAGAGGGAGAAATGAAGAAGGGATTGTAGTGCTACCATCCCCATGGTTGGGAGTGGGAGGCACCTCACTTTTCCCCTCTCTCTCTCTCTCTCTCTCTCTCTCTCTCGTGCACACATGAGCCCTCTGGCAATTTTTTGAAAACCGTTTTCATAATAATGTAAAGCTACTCTTTGTCTTTCTCATGAATACACAGTGTTTCCCAGATGCCCGTGATGAGTGATTCACAGCAGACTGAATGCAGAGACAGGTACGAGAATCCAGCCATGTCCTCTACTATACCAGGCATGAAAAGGCTTCGAAACATGAAAGACAATATCACCCTTCCAACCCCATCTTACTGTTTCCAAAAATGCTATTTTTATAAAGTGCTATTAATGTTCACATGTAATGAATTTATCACATGTAAAAGTATCTTAAAAACAGTTTTAATTTATACTATGATAAAGGTCAAATGATATAACCATGTAAATAAAAGCCGTGGGGTCCTCAATGAGTTTGAAGAGTGTGAATGAGTCCTGAGACCCAAAGCTCGAGAAGACTACCCTGCGGCACGGTCACTGCTGAGGCAGCAGACGGCTCAGCCATCTAAGCCTCCCTCCCAGGACACTGTGAACTCAATGGAGAACTAGAGCCACGCCATCTGAGTTTTGGAGACCTCCCAGAGACTCCTGTGCTTTGCCGGCATGCCTCAGTGGGTACCACACCTATTTCTGAACTCCAATGAATTTACCCAGGACCCCCGGGTCTGGTGATGAGGGAACCTACACATGTACCACTGGTTGGCACCCACAGATTTTCCCGGACAGCTTGTTTCCCCTTCCTCTAATAAAACGTCACTTCTTCAGGGACTGCCTGCTCGCCCATTCTTAGTCCCCCTGGTTACAGAAGGCTCCAGAGGTAGACATGTGATCCAGATCCGGATAAAGTGATTGGTTCCCAGTTAATCGTATGAACCAACTAGACCTATCAGAGTCAGTGAGTATGTGACCCAGGATCTTGCAGAGAATGTTGCAAGAAATGAGCCCTTTTTCTACCGGAAAAGTCACGCTAGTAGGTGAGAGCCTGGAGCAGGTGGTGGGTGGCACCAGCGCGTGGATAACAGTGTGAGAATGATGCAGCTCAGAATCTTGTGATGGGGCGACTCCTGATTCTACCATTTGGGCACCTGGAGACGGCTCAGCTATGCCTCAACTCCTCAGGGACTTGGGACAATAAGCTCCTTTTTTTCCCCCCTTAACAGTTTGAGTTGAGTTTCTCTTCCAGCTAGAGTCCAGATGAATAACTTACAGTGACCAGTGGGGTAACCACCAGCAGGATTGGGGCTGAGTCCCCCACCAGAGGCATCAGCGAAGCCCACCGCAAACCCGGTGCCTGCAAGAAGCTCCGTTGTTGTGCACCAGAGAATGGCAGACCCTTGACCAAACAACACAGCTAGGTAACAACAGGGGTTTTTCTTGAACTTTATCCTTTATAAAGCCATACAATAGATCGCAGTGAAACAACGTAGCTGTACAGGAGTGGGGCAGCGTCAGTGTACAGTACATTCACATCCCGGACAAGGAGCACAGTTGGGTTTATACAAGGTGGCAGAGGTTACAGGCACGATGATACAAAATATAAAGTATATTTCCATCTATATAAATACACAGCCGGGGGATGGGAGGATGCCGGGTTATGCTGTTCTACCTGCAGAGGGCCTGGGAGGCCAAGGGTAGGGGCGGAAAGGGTGGGGGTGGGAAGGAATTCCTTACATGTTTTGAATGACATGTCAGAAGGAAGGAGAGAGAAGGGGAAACACAGCTTACACAAACCAACACGCTCTCTCACGTGTGCACGCACCCAGACACACCAAACACGGACACACAGGAGCGTTTTAAACTGTTTAACACTGATTAGGGAACAAACTCAGGGCATCTTTCTCGGACAATCTTGCTGCTCAGAGGAGCCCAGGTGTGGGAAGTAAACAGAAGTCCTCCAATGTCGGACACTGAGGGCAGAGGAGCTAGAAAGAAACAAGTTTGCCCGAGCCCCAGCGGGTGGCCCAGTCCTCACCACTATCCACACTGAGGCTCCACCAGTTGTTAACCCTAAAGGCCTCACCTCTAGATCCCTCTCCCTACTGGGTGATATTGAACTTGACATGCTATGGCCCATCCAACCTCCACCCCAAGTTCCCTAAAGAGATGAGCAAGATAAGCATACATGGACATACACTTACACACACACACACACACACACACACACACACCATGTTACACGGGCAATGAATCTAGATCTCAGGGCCTGGACATCAGTGAAGAGGGGGCTCCAGGAGTCTGCTCAACCTCCTCAAGGGTCCCAAGGGTAGAGGTAGGCATGGGTTGCCTCCCTTGGGTGGAATTTTGACCCCCTTAATCTCCCTAGGCCCTGAAACTGAGACAAACCAAGGAAGGGGAAGAAGACCCAGAAGGGAGGGGTGGCGGACAGCAGTTAGAGCACAGATGATGTTCACACTCACCGGCCTCCTGTCCGCCCTCCCAGGAGCCCCTTGATGAGGGACTGTGCTGGTCCAGCAGCTGCTCCCCACTACTTTCACATGGCCACGGGCCCTCTAGCCATGCTTTGGCACACCCAGGGACTCACCAGGAACTAGGGGAGAAGGAATCCTGGCAGTCGACATCCATATGCTTTCGGTCGCTGTGGGAGAGGCTCAGACAATATGTGTCAAAGGGCCTTTCCTGAATCAAGACCTTAGACACACCTCTCTTGTCCCTCACACGCCTTGCTAGACAAGGTAGCCAGGACACTGTGATAGCTGGGTAGGGGTCCCCCACAGAGGTTATCAATCCCTGGTTGACAGCTCTCCTCCTCACTGCCTTTTCTCTGGTGTCACCTCTCCATTGTGCCGATGCTCACTTTTTCCCTCCTGTTCCCCCAGGAAGGGCATGTGGACCTCACTGGGCCTCTGTCCAGTGAATCAGAGATGTCCTTTCCTGCTCTCTTGCCTGCAGATAGCACACATGCCACTGGGCCCTGGGCCTGCCTCAGAGAGACAGCTGGACAGCTACAGCGGCCTGGGGCTGGGCCCGAGCCTGCCTGGGGGCTGTCTCGTCACACCATAGAGTGGCCTTCTCTCCTGCTCTTGCTTGCCTTCCTTTCAGACCTCTTTCTGCCTCAGCCCATGTTTAAGACCAGACCACACTCTCCTGCCTGACAAACAGATTCAACAAAAACAACAGTAAATCAGGTTGAGAGAAGGGGAGGAAAGAGAGGATAAACATTTATAACATAATTAGTAAAAGTGCTTTCTTTTAAAGGAAATCTTTGGCAAGAACAGACTGCAGTGCTGTGCTGTGTGTGTACGCGTGTGTGTGCGCACAGGCCTCCCGTGAGCCCTGGGAGCACCGTGGCGTCAACCCCAAGGATGAGGCCACCGTGGAGCCTGGGCCACCCCTCCCCATCATTCTGCTGGAAAGATCAAGCTCCCGGCAATGTCTCGCTCCCCAGGGAGCTGGGAGTGGGTGCTCAGCTTTCCAGCACTGACCTGGGTCCTTCCCACTGGGCCCTTGCACCTGGAGGGGAGGTGCTAGCCATGCCTAGGGAGTGGCTGCTGGTGGGCGGTGGGTGGTGGGAAAGCAAGTGTAAAGTCTGACCTCAGACTCAGCCCCAAAGTGTCTGATGAGTGTGGAGAGAACATCCCAACCAGGTGGGACTCCTGGGCTACCTGGCAGGAGAGGGTGGTATTTACAAAGGAAGGGGAGAGGGAAACGTCTCCTCTGGTATTCGAAGAGAATTGGGGTTCACGAGCGAATGGGGAGGCAGGGAGATTGAGGACTCTGGCTGGATAGATATCTCAGAAGGAAGAACACTTTGGACGGACCTCAGTCACACTTTGGGAAGCAAGGTACCCATGGAGTAATCCCCATCTTCTTCAGACACTCCTTTCTAACTCCCTGAAATAGACGTCCACACAGATCCAGCTCCCTGGAGGAGAAAAAGTACAAACAATGCCCACACGCCCACACCCACCACACACACCTACAACTCCACAAGCTTGCACACTCACTTGGGCCCGTGACACAGGGCAGCTCCCACACACTCTAGGAACTGACTTTTGGGCCCTGGATTGCCAGAAAATAAGGAGGCCACAAAGGTGAGACATCTGCACCCCCAGACAGTCTAGAAAAGGCCAAGGCCAGGGCCAAGAGACTCCTGGTTGCTCCAAGAATAAAGGCCCCAACATTTTAGGCTTTAGTTACACATATAAAAAGGGTTGAGAATTGGTTTATACTCAGGGAGGCAATAAAGCAATATGGGAAAACAATAAATACTTCTTGTCAATTTACCTATTCTGTTTTTTTAACCTTTTTTTTTTTAATATATTTTATTAGCTTACAGATTTCGTCAGTATGTCTCACATATATATTATATATATTTATAAATCAGTACAATGCCTCTTTCTAGGGAACCCCCATAGACTTAAGAATGGAGTCCTGGTGAATTTTCCATTCCAGCATAGAGTCCTTGGGTGGTGGTCAGGGTTTTCCCAACTGCCCAAGTGGACTCTAGGCTCTTTGGCCTAACTGTATGCCTCCTGCCCTCTGCTCCATTGGGCAGTGTGGTTCTGCCAGGGAAATCAAGACAGAAGGGACAACGGCGAGGCTTTGGCATTGTAGGTAGGCCAGGAGTTGCATGGGTGGCAGCTTTGCCCTAGGGGTATCTGCAAAGTCAGACCCCAAGACACTTACAGAGGGGAAGACAAGGACCACAGGCTTCTGTCCTGGGCCTCGCTGGGCAGGGCTTTTGGAAGCAGGTTCCCTGGGATAAGCCCTGATGTGGGGACCCTGCAGGACAGAATGAGGCAGGGCAGAGCAGTAACACTCGATCCCTGCACTCCAAAAAGGCATCATGCAGATAAACAAGTCTGAGATAAGGCTGGTTTGGAGGCACAGAACCACGAATAGGGCTGAGAGGTGGGAGCTGAAGCAAGGCCAGGGCACTGGTAGAGGAACTCGCCTTCCTTGCTGCAAGAGCTACACACCTTGGTGACGACACCCAGAGCACACGGCCACCCTTCCTGAAGGGGCTCCTCCCCAGGATGTGGACACGCACATCTCCACATCCTCAAACCCAGGCTCCAGCCTCCCAGCTGAGGCACACACGGGAATGTTGCAGGATGGCCACCCACACTCCCACTGGGGTCTTTGTAGAAGGGAAGGGGCTGGTAGCACCAGGGCCACCAGAACACAGGTGCAAAAGCCAGGAAAGAGAGCCTTGTTACCCACTACTTTGGGTGCTCCTGGAGCAGAGAGTTTCTGTCCTCCTTGTTGCCCTGTCAGCCCAACCTCAACCTTCTGTGTTCAGTGTGCTTGTGCGTGTGTGCACGCGGGACACAGGAAGTGCAGCTGTTCATTCCAGGTGACAGATATAAACCCACGTGGAGGGAGTGAGTGTGGACAGACACACACCCACACAACACATAGGAGGCACAGCCAAAAGGCCTTAGGTGTCTTGGGTCTGAAACACTTTGAAATTACAAAGTGCTGCCACTCGATGTCACACACTGGCTCCATGTGGTCCAGCAACCTACTCCTCAGGTGGCCAGAAAAGATTCTCTCCGTTTGACTTCTCCTTGCAAAGCAATGGGGTTAGGGAGACAGAGCTTTTCCATTTCCCCAAAAAATATGGATCCCAAGGAGGCTTATTTGGTCTCCTCTGAGGAGCTCCTTCCTCTGGGAGGGGTGATGGGTAATTAGGTGGACCTGGTTAGTTTGGGAGGCTTTGGGTTTTTGCAGTTTCCATCTACCCAGGGGAATCCGAGTTCTTCTCCTCCATCTTTTTCTTTCTCGTTCTCTCTGCCCCCATCCCCTCTGCAATTCACTTCCCTCTCTCCACGTTGCACTTTCTTCTCTCCTTCTCCAAAATTGGCCCAAAGTCCTCCTTCTGGATTCAAGGGTGGTCAGGATTCACGTGTCCCCTCCCCACAGGATCCATCCCCATGGCCCTGGCCCTGGACAAGGGATGAGGGCTCATCTCTTCTGGCCAGCACTCAGCATGACCTTGGAGACAAAGTTGACAATGGCTGAGGCAGGCTGGTTGGGGTCAAGCTCAGCGAAGAGGTGACAGGCGTTGTCTGTGGTGCTGCCCTGCTTCCGGGCCACGAAGCCGAAGAGCCTGCAAGGCGGAGAGAGCAGCGGGGATGAGGGGAGGGTAGGAAGAGTCCGGGGAGCAGCCTAGGTGAGCAAGGTGGTCTCAAGCCAACCCCCATCACCCTGTCCCTCCAAGTGAGCATGAGACTGGGGAGGCGCATAAGAGGACACTCTCCGGGCTCCACTGACAACAGGCCAAGTCTCACCTCACTTTGTCTCAGGGCAGGCCCCTGTCCCTTGAGGCACAGTAGTGGGGGCTGGGAGTGAACACAAGACTGACTAGTAAGGGGTGAGGACACGACCAAAAATAAAATGGGAACATTCCTAGACCCGCCTCTCTCAGTTCACTCCAGCCCCACCCACCCGGCTGTTCTTACACACAACACATACACAGATGGATAAAATGTCGTCTGCCCGTCAGAGAGTTCAGCCTCCTCACACACCACAACAAGGTCAGGGAAAGCGGTTCATCTCCCCCAACACACATACACACACATGCACACATGTGCACACACACACACACACACACACACACGTAATGCACACACATTCCTCCTGGGCTCAAGGCGCCTGGAAGTCCAGAGTAGGAAGGGGAGGTGGTCCCCAGAGCTGTCCTCCCGGAACATTCCTAGACCCGCCTCTCTCAGTTCACTCCAGCCCCACCCACCCGGCTGTTCTTACACACAACACATACACAGATGGATAAAATGTCGTCTGCCCGTCAGAGAGTTCAGCCTCCTCACACACCACAACAAGGTCAGGGAAAGCGGTTCATCTCCCCCAACACACATACACACACATGCACACATGTGCACACACACACACACACGTAATGCACACACATTCCTCCTGGGCTCAAGGCGCCTGGAAGTCCAGAGTAGGAAGGGGAGGTGGTCCCCAGAGCTGTCCTCCCCACCCCCACATGCGTCAAGACTGGAGTGACCTAGCATTCTCCCAGTGCAAAACAGAGTTAAAAATATGAGGCAGAGAACAGAATGTGAGCTCAGGTCCCCTCCCAGCCGGCATGTTGCTAATTAGAGTGAGATGGGGAAATTAGGACAGCTGGAGATTCCGATGGAAACCCTTCTCCTTGGGACTGGACCACAACAGCTGAAATTAGCAAGGCTGGGATCTGCTTGCCACTGTGCATGTCTGTGTGCACTGTGTGTGCACGCATGCTCACATCACACATGCATACACACCTACCACCACATACACACCATACATAGCACAATACACACATACAGATACACACACCACCTGTATACCACATACACAAATACATACCCAATGACACATTCATACCACAGATGCATCAGACACACACCTAACACATAACATACCACAAATACACACAACATACACACGCAATGCATAAACACATGCACACCACCCTACATTTCTCACAGTTTCACTCCCCAGCTTTGTTTCAGGGACAAGGAGCCAAGGACCTGCAGTGGGCTCAGATGGTGGCAAGCCACCACAGAGCAGCCCCCAGCCACCTCCCTGTCCAGGCTGGCTTGGGCCCTGTGCTGTAGCTGGGGGGGGTGGTCCAGGCAGAGGGAACAGGTGGCTCCA